TTGTAGCAATAAAAATCATAAAATATACACTTAAACTGCTTCTCTACCAATTAGAATTTGGCAGCAAATGGAGAGAAGAGGAGGCAGTACTGGGGGGACATGGAGGTTATGATGTAGGGCAGCTGGCCTGTAAGTGCCCATATGTGGAGAGGCGGTCGAGAAGTAAAAAATTGGGAAATAGCAGATTTCTGCAGTAATAACTGACCGATACAACAAAACAAGTCCTGCAAACACTGAAACTCTGCAGCAACATAAACTGTTGGCTCCAGTAACTTCATAAGTCACAAACCATGGCAACAACAGCCGTATCCCAGTCGTGTCCAGGCACTCCCTAGTTTCCCCTGGAAACAGCTCTCTTATTTTCTCCTCTGTGCAGGATTTTTAGTAAATACCACACAGGTGAAAAGATGTTTTTCTTTCTGGATTGCCACTGTTTTTACTTTGTGTTCTCTCATAAATTGCAGTTCTTGGAAATTTCAAGGCCACTGTAAGTTTTAATATTTAGTCAAACTGACATCTTTAACAAGCATCGCAGGAACTGTTTCTCAAGTTTCCAGAACTAAACCTTGAATCCAAAACTGAACTCTCCAAAAGAAGTCAAGGTAGAGAGAGCTGAGGAAGCAGAGAGAGAGTGAGTGAGAGAGAGAGAGAGAGAGAGAGAGAGAGAGAGAGAGGGAGAGAGAGACCTGTGTGTTTCTTTTCTCAGGCTCAATGTTTTATTGAAAGGAGAGTCTAACTAGGTCAGCCTGTTCAAACCAAGCTCTCTCTTCCAGCCTCTCTCCCTCCATCTCTGTCCTCAGTTCACTCTGGTCTGCTGTCAGAGCAGAGAGACGAGAGAGGGAAGAAGAAGGGATAACAGAGATGTGCAGGAGGACACGCAGCGATGGAGAAAAATACAATGATTCAGTTAAAAGACAAAGCGGTGGATCAGGGGAAAGGTGGGGAAAAGACAGCGTGGCAATGGATTGAAGTGAAAGTTTAAAAAATGGGAGGGAAGGAGGGAACTTTAAAGGGGTGGGGGAATGAAAAGATGAGGATAAACTAAAGAGAGAATTTAAAACTAAAGAACAAAGGTGGATTGGTGTGGTACTGCTTCCAGGAAATTGCCCAAGTGTCTAGTAGTGTCTAGCACTGAGCAAGCTTCTCCCTCCTCGTGATGTTTGTGGAGGCGAGGAAAGCAAACTGAAATGACTGACAGTTCAAGGAGAGATCAACAAGATGTTTTTGGTGTCTTAAACTTCATTCTTTCCACGCTCCTTAGACCTTAAACTTCATAAAAAAAAGTCATGTTCAAATTCTACCATGCAGCTCTGAGCTAATGGGGTCTAATGGGGGCATTTAAGGTTTATAAGCTCTAATTTTGCTACTATTTTCGATATTCTGCTACTGTTTCACTCTTCTGCCACAAGGTAGCACAGGGCTGTGCAACAATTTCAGCATAGCCCAGTGCCCAAACACCATTACAATTTCCATCGTTCATCATGTGACTCACACTGGCCACGGTGAGCATTACCAAACCTGATTATTCCTAATTCCTGTTATTCCACTGCCCAGGAAGCGCATTGCTCCAAAGATGGCTGTAGTTCATCTAAAGCTGATTTTAGTTTTCACAAATACAGGATTGATTATTTTACCAATAATAAATAAATAATATCCTTTTGTTCCTTTTACAGAGATTGCAGTTTCACAGAAACATCTAGTGCTAATTCCTAATCCTAGTCCTAATGTTTAATCTATAAATTCAAACCTATGAAACAACTAAGGAAAGGAGAAATGAACAATTAAGCTAAATGTTCATATCAAACATGAATGTATTTTCCGAACTTTTAGTGTAGTGAATGATTCATCCAAATATCCTTAAAACTAGAGTTTAGAGAGGCTGTCGCAATCCACCCCCACCCTTCATATCAGTCCAGATGCATTCAAAGGATGAGTTAGAATGAAATCTGTTTCCATAGGATGTAAATTTTGTGTTTGCAGTACGTTTGTTTCTACTTTTACTTCTCAGATCGGATGAAAATGAGTTGTCAGTCATTTTATTTGAGTCCAGTAATTTTTATAAGACAAGAGGTTTGAAATCATGCAGGTAAGCAGAGGATGCATGTAGGATTCAAACTGGTACTCTGGTGCTGGCAGTGAAATGCCCCCTTCAGCCTCCAAATGTGGCCCTAACTGCCTTTCAAAAAAGAAAAATGTGCATATCAGTGTGTACATGGACACTTTGTTTTTTTTTGTTTTTTTTTTTGACATATGAGACCAATCTGATGAAAATTGTGTCCAGAAACACATTTTAATAAAATAAAAATTATGAATATTTTATAAATTGTTGCCAAAATACAGAAGAAAATACGTTAAATATTAAATAGTCCTGTCAGCAGATTTGCGTCTTGTTATTTCCCACTTATTTTCCAGCAAGCATAATTCCCCTGCACTGTAGAATATCCAGAAACCACATATACAAGTTTTAATGCAAGCCTGCTCAACTTGGTGCTTACATAAATGCATTTATACTCTTCTCAATTATAAATGTGTATATATAGAGAGAGCCTTAAAAAATGTACATCACTAGACGTCTTCAGCAGAACCATGATGAGCAACAGCTGTAAAAAGAGGTGCTCCTCCCAAGCCAACCCAGCATGCCGTGTCAGGTGTGGATAATTGGCGACTAAGGAATTAAGCCCATGCAACAACCAGTGTTGGGCAAGTTACTTTGAAAAAGTAATTAATTACAGTTACTAGTTACTTCTTCAAAAAAGTAACTGAGTTAGTAACTGAGTTACAATATTCTAAAAGTAATTAATTACTTGAAAAGCAACTATTGCGTTACTTTAAAAAAAAAAAAACCCTCTGTGGTCCAGGGTATAATTGCATATTTTTAACTACTTTTGATGTTTCCTCTACATGTCACCTTTAAAAACTATTTATTTGCCTTGTTTGGTATCAATCTTTTCAGCACAACCTTGCGTGTCTGAATTTACAGTTATGTTTTCATTTTGACATACTGTATTAACACAATTGATCTAAAATCAGACAACAAACAAAATCAGAGTAGAAAAAGTTATATTTTTTACTGTAGCAACCACAAACATGTTTAATGAATCAAATTTCATAACTTTAAATGCAAATATAAAATGTCAATTTTAAAATCATATGCACAAGTTTTGCAAACAACAAAGTTATTTGCAGCCATTTACCTTTTACCCCCCTTTTTTAAAAAAAATAATAATTTCAAACTGTTTACATAACAATCAGCTGTTCTGCATTCAATAAGATGCCACACAAATTATTTGTGCCACTTCAAATATTTCTGTCCACTATAAAGGAGAACATCACAGCCTGATACCTGCAGGTCTGACAGCAGCAGGTATATCACTCCTGGAGACAGCAGTCACCTCATTGTTCTGACACACAACACAAAACTATCCACAACACTACACACTAACTACAAAAGACAACACATTAACTACACACTCCAAACACGTTAAATGTCACAAATCTCTCACATCTCAAAACTCGCTCTCTCTGTTTCTGCTGTCTTTCTCTCTCTCTCTCTCTCACCGTCACTCCTAAAACTTGCACCTCTTCTTAAACAACCAAATGCCATGTTGCCATATAGTTTTTGATTGGTCGGCATGGTGCATTTTTCCACCAAGACCAAAAGGCTGGGGTTTTTTTGTTTTGTTTTGGGGTTTTTTGGTCATAAGCATGGAGTGCTTGCTAGCGCTGTCCTTAGACATTAAACATGAAGAAACTATTAAGGAAATATATATTGTTTATCATGACTCTGGTTTTATGTGGCCTATCAACACAATTTAAAAACTGGTGAATATCACATTGTTGCTTTGTCATCTTAAAGTGGTCATGTGATTGGCTTACCACGACTACTTTATTCTTCCTCAGTCAAACAGCAGCACTCATGCAATTGTTTTGACCCCTTAGCTCCAGGTGTTGTGCCAAAAAGTGATCGTCAGGCAGAAAGTGATTGCTGTCCGCGGGAGCGCGCGCAGCTGCTTAAAGCTGTAGCGCCCAGATTACTTACAGCTACTTCCCTGCAACTGATATAAGGTGCGGTAAGCTGAACACAGCTTCAACCGTCTGTTTGTTGAAAAATAGTAACGCAACCGCACCGCATTTTCTTCTTAGTAACGGTAACAATGATCTATTTCGATCGTTGTAACGATAGAAATAGTAATTAGTTAGATTACTCGTTACTGAAAAAAGTAATGCCGTTAGTAACGCTGTTACTTGTAACGCCGTTATTTGTAACGCCATTATTCCCATCACTGGCAACAACCACAGAGTCTTGCAACTGCAAGGCAAGTAGAGGCAAAACAAAGAGCCGACATCCCACAGCATCCACTTTAGATGAGTTATAGGTCATTTATTTTAGCAGCCATCCTCTAAAATGACACTTGTCGAGCGATGCTTGTCTTTTTGCCTCTTTGATGCACCAGGGAAGCAGTTCCACTGGACAGTCTGAGCGCTCATCCTCTGGAAAAGCTGCAACACATCTGTACCAAATAAAAGCTGGAGAAGGAGAAAAGGACACTTTCACAATGTGACACCCCAAAAGTTGTGTTAATGAACATTTTACTCTCAAAATAAAACTGCAGTGTGAGTAGTGGCCCACTCCAGCTACTACTAATGAAGAGAGTCTAACCTCTTTGTTCACACAGAGCTGAACAAAGGGAATTACACACTGACACATTTCAACGCCTATGGAGAGACTTTTGTCTGTGTGTGTGTGTGTGTCTGCAGGGTGCAAAAACAACACACACACACACACGCTCTCAGAGTCTACAGGCTTGAAATTAATTCAGAAAAAAAGCGAGTGAGAAGGAGGGATGAGGAGGTGGAGCGGTGGTGGTGAATGCATCGCTATCCTTGGAGCCTGCACGCGCGCGTGCACACACCATCGGGAGCGTCGCTGGGCTTGCGTGCGCGTCCACGAGAAATAAAGAAAAGAGGATCAGGAAGAAGGTGAGAGAGAGAGAGAGAGAGAGAGAGGGGTAAAGGCGCCGTCTTCTTCTTCTTCGCTCTCTGCTGCAGTGTCTGATTCTCCCTCCACCATCTTCATCAACATCATCATCCTCTTCTCCCTCCTCTCTGTCTGTCTGGCCCCCCCTTCTCCTCCTCGCCCTCCTCCTCTTCCACCCCCTCCTCCCCCTCCTGTGAAGGCATGGCCAGATATCACAGCGACAAAAGAGAGAGACAGTGGTAGAGAGACCTTTAGAGAGAAAGAGAGAGAGTGAGAGCGAGGGAAGAAGGCTGCAGACTTTCAGACCTGAGAGGAAGAGGAGAGGAGGAAGAAGAGATAGAGGAGTCTCCATCTTCGCCATTTCAGTATGTTTTCCTTCTCTGAGGTTTCTCTCATTCTCGCTCTTTCTGCGGCTCCGGTTACGTTGAGCACACTGCTGTAATTTTCCTATAGTGTCACGCTCGCGTTGTTTCACAGCTCAGTTGTGTTGACAGTCCTCTTATTATTCCCGTAAGAGCGCGAGGCTGTGGAGTGTGTCTGTGCCGCTCTCCGTGCGCCTTCGCGGGGACATTGTCTGACTGTGGCACCTCTGTAATCTCCCTGTAGTGAGTCAGTCATGCTTCTGTTGTTCCCATGATATTTTGCACATGTTTGTCATGTTGTGCGTTGTTTCTATGGTGCCGTGGCGCTTTGCCTCACTGTGCCTTTTGTCACGCGTTGTACTGACTTTAATATTCCTGTGATATTCCCATCGCAGCGCCACAGTGAGCTGTTTGAGCCGCTCAGCCTGTGGTGACCTTATGCCACCTCTTTGATTATGTTTATGCTCATTATCGTGCTCGTTTATGATTTCACTTTTATTGCTTAGAGGTGTGAGTGAACAGACCCGGGGCTCCGTAACATCCCTGTAATATTTATGTAATGTTCCTACTGGGTGCCATGAAGCCTGTATTGTTCTGTATGGTGAGTGTATAGGATACCTCTGTAGGATATGATAATCTGGGCTGAGACCACTGTATGTAATGCTGTTTATTCCTATTGGGTGACCAAGTGATCCCGTAATTTTCCTGTAATGATTTATGCAGAGCTGAAGTGAAGTCTGTGTTGACCTTTTGGAACCTTTAACATCTCTATTTTCAATTTGACATGTTTGAACAATCTGCTTTTCCCTGCATGGGAAGAATCTCCATAAAATTAAGGTAAATTGCTTAAATCCTTAAGAGATTATTGACTTCTACATTTTTAACACTTAAAGTAACTTAATGCTGCATTTTCATTGTTAACTTTTAACACCAGGCAAGAATGCAAAAAACATAAAATACATACTAAAATTGACTAATTTAGATTATGCGACAGCTTCACATGAAACCTGGATTACTTTTAGACTTCATCATCCAACCCAACCATCAGTGGATTATATAGGAAAATCTGCCCTGGCTTATCTTCAGTCTGCTGGCTGTGCAGGCGCCTATGCTGAGCTTATTGTACATATTTATGTCAAACCCAGTGTGCAAATTAAAGTTGCTTAATTTTAAAAAAGGGTTAGTACAGCCGTGGGAAATTACATCACTGAAACTCTTGAATAAGAACCACCTGATTTCCCTGCAGGGGGAAATTTTGGGGGGCTTGGAAGCTCTGAAGCAAAATCAGGGCATCTTTAACATTTATGACTCGTGTCTTTACTCAGATATTAACTCTTTTTTTCTTCACCTAAAGTTTCAGGAACTTTCCCAGAATTAAGGTTCCTTCAGTGCATTTCCACACAAGGGTCAAATCCACAGGAAGATAAAGCAAATTAGCCTGCTGACACATCAAATCCGGACAGCAAACCCAGTTCTTCATTGGTATGAAACCTCCTGTGCTTCCTGATTATCATCTGCTACAAACTACAAATAACAAAGAACCGGTGTGCAGCTGAAAGTTTTCCAAAGAAACTGGGTGAATAAGATGTTGCTGTTAAAGGCGCTAACACAATCAGTGCATTCCCGACAGGTACAGTACACGTTTATGTTTCCCCTAGGACCAATTACTGGACGCCAAAGTAACCATGTGTTTCTTCTTAAGGTCCTCAAAAGGCACATAGAAGTTCTCAAGCAATAATATTTGTGCAGCTGTTTGGTAAAAAATAGAAAAAAGAAATATTATGATATAAAATATTAACTTTATTGTTTCATTAAAATCAATATATATCCTTACAAGCTTCCTTCTTTTTCGTCTTGCCGAGGTTTGCAGAGGTTTGCACACAAGAAGGTCCTGGACTTTGGATCTTCTGGAGGTCTTTGTGATTCTAAATTGGCCAAAAATGTTAAAAAGATAAAGAGTTGTGAGGTGAGCAAGGCTAGAAAAGTGCCTCACAAATGTCATTTCCACATGTACGAATGAATAATAAAAAATAAACCTGCAAAAACCCCTGGGCCCAATTTTTCCTTTTTTAAAGGGTCCGTTTCTGTGCCGTCACATTAACGTGCAGAGTTCTTACCAGAGGTTCAACACCGGCCTCTGTAGGGAACCAACCCTGAGGGTGCAAATAAATACCCCCAGTCCAGGGTACAAAGGCAGGTTGTTAATTAGGAAGTTCATAAGAAGGTTTTGTTGCCGTCGTGAGCATCCAATCAGAATGCATTTAATTAATAAGCTATTAGATTATTATCCAGTGAACAAAGGTTTATTATCTGACTTAAAGTTAATTTCAGCCACGATGAGAAATGTGAGAAAGATGCACACTGACTGCTAAATTGGAACCGTCGATGGTGTGAAGGTGAAAAAAGTGAGTGCTGCCCTCAAATAAGGTGTGACAGGCGAATTCAATCAGGAAATGAGCAGGTGACAAAGGAACAGGAGAGCAAGTCAGTGATGAGGAAAGGATGCGAGGTGAAGAAAGTAAAGAAACATTAAAGCCTTTACTCAATTAGATAAATATAATATTCTACAAAAACCATGCACTAGCGTAATGGAATTTCATTTAACAGATTATGTTTGTTTGTTCTGCATCTGTAGTTTTCTTTATTCTTATATGGATCTTATAGTTGGGGGTGAAAAGCTAAAGAAACTAGAAATCTTTCCTGCAGCAGCGCCTTAAAAAGTACTGCTCAGTGTTGTTGTAACTACTGGGGAATCATTTTGGGGGTTAAATCAATCTCACTGGAAATGGATTTAGACCCTGGCTTCAGGTACACTTGACCCTTGAAACTGGAGAGGTGGGCCGCTGTCTGGACGTACAGTATAGTCAGAGTTAGGGACAACATTCAAGCTTTTGCATGAATGAGTTCCGATTTAATGCAGGATTTCTTTAAACTGTCTGAGGTGTCCACCAGTGAATATAAAAGAGAACTTTAGAGGTCAAAGGCAGGCCGTCTTAGCGTAGGATGAGTGTTTGCATAGATATCCTTTATATATAAAATATACTTTATTCCTTGTGTTTGTTTGGTTCCATTTAAAGCAGAAGTTCATAGTTTTGCATGGATAGCAAAGTGTCGAGACTGTAGTCTCGATCAGGCATGAAGATCTTTGTCCAGTTTCCAGCGGCTTTATTCCCTAAATGTGTATTAAAAAAGAGAGACTCTCAGATGCTTCTATACATGACGAAAAATTTTATGAATTTCATGTGAATGTGCTCTGCAAAGTAATGAAATATTCTAGCTCAGCTGTTGGTTAAAGTTTATATTGTGCTTTTAAGTGAATCATTTGCTGTGTTAGCATCCGTTCCTGTAGAAGGTCCACCGCATGAAGTGGTTTTTTTCTCCACTAACCGACCTTAAGTTGATTTAGGTTATAAAACCCACCAACAGCAAGTCGGCACACTATTCAAGACAGTTTGTGATGGTACAACTGTTTATATCTCATGTCAGGGAAACTCCACCTACTTATGAATTATGCGTCATTAGATTTTTGTGAAAAATGCCTTCATTTTTAGATGATTTTGTAGCCTTTTTTAATGCATTTTTTTTAAATTTGTGTTTGAAGAGTGCTTTAAGTGTTGTTGCAGATGCTGAAAGTTGATAGTTTTCTAAAACTTGCTGCTGTCCTACCTGCTAATTTAGAGCGTGAGGTTGTGTAGGGGGAAAGGCCCAAAACTTTATTTACTTTTTCATCCTAAGACAGTATGTCTATGTCTGTATTTAGACATTTATAGATGTCTGTATTTTCACCTTTTGTCATCATTACTGGGTGATCACAGTGTTCTTGGCTGAGCGAGCTTTGATCTTTGACCACGTCTCTGTTGTTTGTCGTATTGCTGTTGTCGGAGGGAATGAAGTGGACTTTAGTTCAGTGATGTCAAACTCGTGCTCCAACCCGGACAGATGGGAAATTTTCTGTGAAAAGGTTTAGGATCACGCTCGTCGTTGATCTCAGCATGTGGTTTTGCGTAAACGGTCTTCTTCTCTGCTGCGATGAAGAATGAGAAGAAACCTGGCGAAATATAATCTTCCTGTCAGACCGGGTGTTGTGGCTCTGCATGAACCGTAGGAGATTTCTCTCCTGGCTGTTTTGCTGTGTAAACAAAGACACCAGGTGAACTCAGTTGAGAAGTAATGAAAGAAAAACTCCTTTATTTTCTGTCGGCTCTCTGCAGAGTCTGAGTCAGAGACAGGCCAGAGCCCGGCGATCGTTCATAACTGCACAGGAAAATAAACCTGCCTCATCTCCGCAGCCCAGCACCACCTGTGTGTGACAGAGGATATTAAACACAGGTTCAGCTTACACTTGACCAGTCATAGCAGACTGCTGGTCACAGATAAATTCTCCATTCACACCTGTGGGTCTCTTCACATCACAGATAAAATCATTCCTGCTGCTGCTCTCCGTGCTCAACGAGCTGTTGTGTTTCAATTTGCAGCATTCGGAAAGTTCAGCTCAGTTTCTTTACAGCCGGGATGAGGATGTCACTTTGAACATCAGGCTGCCATTCACATGTGTTATACTAAGCTTTTACTATGCAACAGACTTGCAAATCAGTGGTTGAATGCAGATTTACAGCAGTAAGGTGGGGGAAGTTGGAGGAATTTTGATTTTTGCAAACTACAGTTTACAATATAGTGGTTTACACATTCATCTGACACATGAGAGATCCCGGGTTCAAGTCTTGGAGGAGACAAAAATGCCTGGGAGGGTTGTTTCGGTAAAAATCTGCCAAATCAAATATGTGGGTCCATCTGCTGTGGGATCCCCTCGTGAATAAGGGAGCAGCAGTTTAAAATAAGTTTTAAACGATAGTTTGCAACATGAGAAAGTTTGGAACATTTCAGCTAACAAACCAAAGCTATACTGGTTACCCAGACACGAAAGAGCCCAGTCATTTAAGAAACAAAGCATAATACTGTCACAAACTAATTTTTGGTAGTTATGACAACCAAGGGGAAACTTC